CTCTTTCTCTTGTTTCTTCTTTCCAATTCATAACGAGTTATTCCTCAATAACAAATATACAACATAACAAGAACAAAAATCAGAAATATTCTGCTGTTCGTTATCTTTATTTATTACGAGATTAACAGTCACAACATATTTAATTTATTATTTTTTTTTCTTATTAAATTTACTTTATTATTTCCTATATTTCTTTTTCTCAATCAATTTGACGAGATTTCAACATACGATTGGCGAGCTTGTTAGTTTTATCATTTGACTACTTTATCGTACGTATTGTTGTACTATTTATGGCATTGATCGAAGACACTAGATAGGAAAAAAAGGGACAGAGAAAGAGAGGGAGAAGGAGGAAAAATAAAGCACAACAACCAACTGCCTTCTGTTTGTTACCGGTCAATCAAATTAGCTATATAGGTTTCATTTGTTTCTTAACCTATTTAATTTGATTATCATATCTACGCCCCCAACACTTATTTTGAAAGAGCTTAGACTTTTCTTTTTCTTGGAAGTAACAAGAACATCCATGTAGATTCGTCTATCATCTATCCATTCGCTCGATTAAACAAGACAATTAACACATATGAAAATAATGTTCAATCACTGATACTAAACAATAAAAGATTCATATTATATGATGTGTCTAACCATATGCACCTCAGGCATCTTTTCACCTGTTTTTTTTCCTCTATTATTCTCTTACATATTATCAAACTATGTGTGGTATTCTCTTTTATAAAATAGACACGTACATATGATATGACCTAGAATAATCTATAACTAAAATTTTATGTTCTTGTTTTAGATGTATTCTTCTATTGGCATCATTATTTTATTTTAAAAAATAGAGAATAAAAACAAAAGTAAAAGATGAGTGCATATTATTATCAAGAAGCAAATGGATACAATGGTATGCCAATGAATCAACAATATAGTGTAGAATATTCTCAACAAAATTCTATTGATGATTATATGGTACCAGAAGAAGAATGGGAACGAGAAGCTGTACTTGATCCAGCATGGGAACGACAACAGAAAAAAGTAATTGATTTTGATAAAATTTGACTTGTATGTTTTTTTTTCTTCTTCTCAATAGACATTTACTGCTTGGTGTAATTCACATTTACGTAAAGTTGGAACAAAGATTGAAAATATCGAAGAAGATTTTCAAAATGGTTTAAAACTTATGCTTTTATTAGAAGTTATTTCAAATGAACAACTTGTTAAACCTGATCGTGGTCGAATGAGATTTCATAAAATTGCTAATGTAAATAAAGCACTTGATTTTATAATGAGTAAAGGTGTTAAATTAATGGTTGGTGCTGAAGGTATATTAATATTAAAATATTTTGTAAGAAGATAATATATTTTTGTGTTTCATTAGAAATTGTTGATGGAAATTTAAAAATGACTTTAGGCATGATTTGGACTATTATTTTACGTTTTGCTATTCAAGATATTTCAGTTGACGGTAAAAAGAAAATTAAAATGAATTAAAATCTACATATGTATGTTATATTTAATATAGAAATGTCTGCTAAAGAAGGTTTATTATTATGGTGTCAACGTAAAACGACACCATATAAGAATGTTAATGTTCAAAATTTTCATACTAGGTTTGAAATATTAATCAAAAGAAAGTCGTCATTATTTTGTATTTTATAATAGTTTTAAAGATGGTCTTGCTTTTTGTGCACTTATTCATCGACATCGTCCTGATTTACTTGACTATAGTAAATTAACGAAAGTAAGTTTTTTTTTTATAGTATACTATAAAGGATATTCTTGGATAAGTAAGGATCAGATTCCATTAAACACATAAGTCATGTACCAGATGTTTGATCCCTATATATATATAGATATATATATATCTGACATAATTCTTTCAGGGATATAAAAACAATGGTACTATAATCTATACATAATTCAAGGAGAAAGAAAACGAAAAATCAATAATAAGCATGTTCTTAAACATAAGTATAGTAAACCTCTTACGTGATCAAGCAGTTGTATCGAACATCTTTTGAATCCCTCCTATATTATTACTCCGTCATGTAGATTGTGAAGGCTGTCTTTGGTTCCACCTGTATATTTTGTTTTTATTATAATGAGAATGAATAGGGGATGCCATGTAAATAAATCTTTTTTATTGCAATACGTAGACTATTGTAATTTGTCTGATTGATTACGTAATTTAATGCAAAAAGATAGAGAAACAAAACAAATGTTGTTAGTTGTATGACATCTTTATATTAACTATGGCATCTTGACATGAACTTGATCTAAAATAAAAGATAAATTCCAAATATCTCTCAATGTCATTTTAAATATTCTCAAAAGAAAACAATAGTTAATATATATACATATGTTATTTAGGATGATCCATTAACAAATCTTAATCTTGCATTTGATATTGCTGAAAAGCATTTGGATATTCCAAAAATGCTTGATGCTGAAGGTATGTATTGACTTTCATATTGAATTTCTTGATAAAGAAAAAAAACAACAAATCCAAACTAAATAGATATGGTCAATACTGTCAGACCAGATGAAAAATCTGTTATGACTTATGTCAGCGCATATTATCATGCATTTGCTGGTGTTTATAAGGTTTATAAAAATAATAAAAAAAAATTGATTTGATTTGAAGTGAGCATGAGTTTCATTTGTCTTGTTCCTTGTATCCCATTTAGAACAAAAGAAAAATAAAGATTTCCTGCATGTATTTGATGTGTGTATATGTTTTATAGAAATCAATAACAGCATAAAAGCCGATGAAAAAGTTGTCATGACATATGTATCATCATATTATCATGCATTTTCTACAACACAAAAGGTTATATTATGCATGAAATAAAAAATAAAATTTTCAATTAAATTAATCCAATAATTTTTTTGTTTTTTTCTGATAAATAGGCTGAACAAGCAGCTAGTCGTATATGTAAAGTATTGAGTATTAATCAAGAAAATGAACAAATGATGGCTGAATATGAACGATTAGCATCTGATTTACTTGAATGGATTAAACAAAAACGTCCATGGTTAGAAAATCGTGCGACAGATAATACACTTCCTGGTACACAAGCTAAATTAGGTGAATTTCGTGATTATTGTCGTTCACAAAAACCACCAAAATTATCACAAAAAGCTAAACTTGAAACAGATTTTAATACACTTCAAACACGTCTTCGTCTATCGAATCGACCAGCTTTTACACCAACTGAAGGCAAATTAGTTGTTGTAAGATAATGAAATCTTTTTTTTTTATATAAAATATAATAGTTTATCTTTAGAATATTATCGATGCTTGGAAAGGTCTTGAATTAGCAGAGAAAGGTTTTGAAGATTGGTTATTACGTGAATTACGTCGGTATGAATCATATTATTTCATAGAGATATATTTGTTTTTTGTAAATTAAATCTAATTAAAATAGACTTGAACGTCTTGATCATTTGGCTAAAAAATTTCAACATAAATGTGACATACATGAAGAATGGTCTGAAGGAAAAATAGATTTATTACAATCAACTGATTTTACAAAATGTTCATTAAATGATCTTCGAGCATTATCACGTAAACATTTAGCATTTGAAAGTGATCTTGCTGCACATCAAGATCGTGTTGAACAAATAGCTGCTATAGCACAAGAATTAAATGTTCTTGGTTATGAGCAAATAGCAACAGTTAATCAACGTTGTCAAAAAATTTGTAATGAATGGGATCAATTAGGAGATTTGACACATAAAAGACGTGTATCATTAAATGACGCAGAAAGAATTGTCGAACGTATCGATAGCTTATTTTTGGAATATGCAAAGAAAGCTGCACCTTATATTAATTGGCTTGATGGAGCACGAGAAGATTTAGTTGATATGTTTTTTATACACACACTCGATGAAATACGCGGTAAAGAAAAAGAAGAAGAGGAAGATAATTGAAGTTTTAAAGATGTATTTTAGGTTTAATCGAAGCACATAATCAATTTAAAGCAACATTAGGAGAAGCTGATGCTGAATATAAAAATATTATACGTTTGGTCAGTGATGCAAAACAAACATGTCAAGATAATGGTCTTGAATTTACGCCTAATCCATATACAAATATTCAACCTGATGTAAGCAATACCAAGAAATTTTAGTTATGTAAATGTAAAACTTTCTTAAGAATAAAGGATAAAGGTCAGAGCGTACAGAAACAGAAAATTATGTTTACTAGGAAACATCGATGACAAGTAAATGAATGTAGATGAAGTCGTGCGATAAAAATCTATCAACACAAAAAATAGAAGAGATGAAAGAAAGAGTCAAAAAATGATAAACTGCAGCAAGTTAATAATGATAGTATTTGTATAATATCGATTAGAAAGAAATTATTATTCTACTTCTATCCTATATACTTAAATTTTAAGGAAATCTCAGCGAAATGGCAAGAAGTTCAAGGCCTTGTTCCTCAACGTGATCAAGATTTACAAACTGAATATTTAAAACAACAACAAAATGAACGTTTTCGTATACAATTTGCTCAGAAAGCTAATGTTGTTGGTCCATGGATTGAACATCAACATGGACAACTTCAACAATTAACCGTTCAAGTTGTTGGCACATTAGAACAACATCAGAAAAAACTTGAAGCAATGGAAACAAATGTTGTTCAATATCGTCCACATATTGAAGAACTTGAAAAATATAATCAACAAATACAAGAATGTATGATTTTTGAAAATCGTCATACACCATATACAATGGAAGTTATACGTGTTGCATGGGAACAATTAAATACTCAATTAACAAGACAAATAGCTGAAATTAAAAATCAAATATATACAATAGAAAAGAAAGGAATAAGTGAAGAACAAATGAATGAATTTCGAGCTGCTTTTGCTCACTTTGATAAGGGTCGTTGCCGTATGTATTTCATTTATTTATAAAACAACAATTGTTTGAATTATATTATCTATATATATATATTTAGGACGACTTGATCCAAAAGAATTTCGTGCATGTTTAATTGCATGTGGTTATAATATTCGTGAAGATCGACAAGGTGATGTTGATTTTCAACGTATTATGGCAAATGTTGATCCAACACAAACAGGTTATGTTACATTTGAATCATTTCTTGATTTTATGACACGTGAATGTTCGGAAGAAGATAGCGTCGATCAATTAGCACTTGCATTTAAAACACTATCTGGAGATAAAGTAAATTGAATTAATCACAAAAAATACTATAAACAATAATATTTTTTTTCTTCTTCTTTTAGCCTTATATTACAGCTGAATTACTTAAACGAGAATTACCAGCTGAACAAGCTGAATGGTGTATGCAAAGAATGAAAGCTTATGCAGGTGCTGATAGTGTACCTGGTGCATATGATTATAAAACATTTTCATCAGCACTTTATGGAGAATCGGATCTTTAATATGACTGTGTATTTTCTATCATTATTTTTATTTTCTTTCTCTCTCCAAATTAACCTTTAAAACGAAATTTGTTCTCTATGATGATCAACGAGAAAATTATTTATAATAATAACACAATCAAAATTAATAATCTTATCCTTTTTCTCTTGTGTTGTTTTTTTGTTCATGTTTTTCTGTTTGTTTATACCTTAGTTCACATCTGACATTGTTTAGTTTAATCTTATGCATATATGTAAAACCCAATATTAAAAGATGAATGAATTTTTAAAAAATCTTTTAAATTGCTACTTTTTATTCTTATTATAATTATACATCTCTTTCTTCTTTTCGTTTTTTTGTACTAAATATGATAGAAAAAAAAA